ACAAGACAGGTGGTCCCCATAGAATAACAGAATAACATAAAAAAAAAATATTTGTGAAATAAATGATGTGAATGGTAGGGTGTTAGAATTTAATGCAAATATTGGGCCCACACTAATTGTTATTTCTCTAATATAAGATCATTAGTTTTAAATATTGAAACAATATTGTTGTAAGTACTACCTGTATTTTTTTCTCTTTCTTACATGTCCTGGATAAACCGACCTGGAGATTCTGCACAACGTAACAACCACACATCAGCGGAGGTGTAAAAGGATGATGTGGGCCGCTGGCGTATGATCGAAACTCAGAAAGAAAGGCTATTGAATGGAGGTCAACCTGTACTGGAGGAGGTAATCTGCCGGGATTGTACATGACAAGTATAGAAGGAAGTTATTGAATGGAAATAGGAAATGGATGAAGAAATTAAACATTAAACAAAAGATAAAGGTACTTACCACAAAAAGAGATAATCCAAACTTCACCAACACCAAAAGATTCACTTATAATCAAGTAATGTTGTATCAAACCTGATTAATTAAAACTTGAAGAACCTTAGAACCCGAAATAAATATTTGAGCACGATAATCCACATCGAGCGAGAGCGAAGATACCTTTCACTAAATACCTGAAGCGCAATAGACATTTGTTTTGGCAGCGACACGACACAGAGGAGAATCAAACTAAATTAAAGTGAAGCACAACTGCATGGGAGTAAATCAATTCACGATGTAAGCCAGCTGATAATGGGAAGTTATACCTCACATATTTCCACGTACGATGGGTTAACCATGGTCAACCGGTGAAAATCACAGTCTTATTCTTTCCTTATCTTGAGTTGCGATACATGCAGCAGGCCCGCATGACATCACATCCTGTCTCTCGATGCAACATGACACTCGGAGCGAAGGCCAATCAAGTTGGAAGTCTTGTGAAGTGCAGAGTCGGACTATCCCAGTGTCAAAGGACGGAATGAACAATTGTTTTAAGAAAAATTATGTAAAATTTTTGTATTGTATAATAAACTTTTCAGGTAGTACATAGTAGGGTAGGATTAGTCGATAGGTAGGTCAAGGGTCGAGGGCGACCCTTTTCCGGGGCGGAGGCACATGTTACGAATAAATAGAACACCCTGTGAATAGGTATGTTATGATTTGTAAATTTTGTCCAAGGGCATGCACATTAAATACATTTGCAATAAAATAACAAAACGTGTAGTTGGACAAGGTTTTATTAAATCATAATATTAAAGTACAGGGTCAAGAAAGATCAACACGAGCATTCTTGGAAAATTACAAGTGAATTTTCTGGGAGTTCCTTTGGGTTTTTGTTGGCGATCGGTCGTGTCCAGTTTTTGGCACTAAGTAAATTTCGGGTCGGTCACGCGAAATCGCGGTTAGTTTTATTTTGTGTAAAACCACGTAGTGGAAAAAGTAACGTGTGCCTTTAGCCAGTCCTGCTGCCCAACGGATAACAATGTTAATGTAAGTAGATACTTTTAAGGAGTAATATTTAATTGTGTAGTTAGCAAAGATTATTGAAGTGCTATATTTATATATTTGTTAAATAAACCATAGTTATTTGTTTTACGCTTGTTGTTTCAATCTTTCAAGTTAGGGTTCCTTAGGTCTGCCCGTCTGAACTTAACCCCCTAGCCGTGTGTTATCTAGAGGCCAATTTAAATACGAATTGGGCCCCTATATATAACCAGTGGTTACCGCTAAGAGTGGACTTTAGGGCCAGTCAAAAGGACCCATAATCTCACTCTTAACAATATGTATAAATTTACAACGAAACTTGGTCTATTTTTAGGAGAATCTGGCAAATTAAAACAGTGAACACTACACTGCAAATATGACCATTGTATAAAGTATTATACTAGTGGTGAGCTACCATCCTTTTACTTAGCGGTGAGATGAAATAAATTATAATAATGGTGTCCGAAAGTTAGAATACAGGTGAAATTAGTTAATGACAAAAATAATAGTGATATCATCAATACGATTTTACCCTTTTTTTTCGTATGATTAACCAGGTAAGCCAAAACAATTTTATTAATTCGTGGGGCCAAAAATGAGCGTTACATCAACTTAGAAGATAATGAAATACACCTAGGAGAAGGCATCACTTATCCATTTCTTATAGGATATTGCATGGACTCAACTTTAAGAGAATCAACATGGTCAAGCTACGAACCAATAACATGGGAAGATCATCTAAGTCAATTATACAAAGGAAATGCAGAAATGGTAACAAATAAAGCCACGATGGAAGCAGTCATAGTAGTAGAAGAAGACATGAAGATATTTTCACTAACAATTCAAAAACGAACAATGGTTTGCGGAATAGAAGTCTGGCAAACAGAACACCCAAGAATAATAATAAGCAAACAAAAAGACCAGAGAGGCCTAAAACCAACAATGCCAATGTTGCCACAAAACGTCAACCTCATGGACTATGTTAATAGTAAATTTTTGTACATAGAACAAGCATATAAAAGAGATATAGATCGATTATATGTAGATACAATACACAGAAGGTGTTTAATGAGGAGAGAAATCCTAAAGAATCGACTACTAATGGCACCAATACTACCAAATGCAGTAAGCCAACTGATGCAGCATGAACCAGGATACGTTGGAAGAGTTGTACATAATGAAATGCACACCAAAGGCAGTGACAATAAGAACAACCAAATGTTACCACGAGCTACCAATATTAGTCTCAAACCAGTCCAGATTTATGGCACCATTAACAAGAATCATTCAGTACCATGCAGAAGAAGTAGATTGTAATCACTTGATTCCACCACTATATTTCCTAGATGACCAGTGGGTAGGACTAGCACCAAATCCAACGGTTTCTACTCCACCCAAGCAGTTAGCCATAGAAGCAGAACCTCACTTGGAATTTTCTCCAATCCAACCAGTAGGCGCCCAGGGCCTATACACCCAACAAGAAATAACGGAAGCACAACGAACTCTAACATTTGGAACCGAGCAAAAAGCTGTACAAAATATATTCACACGACGAGCGGCAGGAATGGAAGCAAATAGTCAAGGGTACTCCCTATCAAACATGTTCGAAGCTGTAGAAATTAGGAGATTAGCACAATCAACCATCAAAGAATTATGGGGATGGTTTTCTGAAACATTTATGAGTGGCCTCATAGGGTTCTATTGTATATTCAAAATAATACAATATACTTTAGGGGTAATACTAAATGGCTTGCGCATCTATCAAACTCTAGGATGTGGCATAGTCATACTAGCGAGTGTATGGAATACCCTAACGTCTTGGGTCATACACACAAAACAGAGAGAAAAGACTCTCAACCCAGAAGAAGTGAAGCTGGAAACAATAACAACCTCCCAACCGGGACCATCAAGGGCCTTAACAGAAGAACAAATCGCGGCGCGAGATCATTGGACTGACAAATGTAAAAGTGTCGAAGGGTACTTAAACTCTAACCTCTTGGAAAGTAAAACATTAACCGATCACAATGAACAAAGTTAAGTGCGCGCGGTAGCAGCAGTAGCAGTGAATAAACAGTCAATCATTTTAAGGGCGAACACGCATTAGCCATAGCAGTAACTAGCAAAAAGGGTAGTACGGCCATCAGAAAAGAAGGAAGATAGTGCAGTGGCGTACGTAAATATAAAATAATAGAAATTGTAAGTGCGGGCTTCGTCATTTATTGTAGTAAGTTAAGTTTTAATTGTTAGGAAAAGGTATTGGACTTGTAAGTGCCAATACTTTTATAAAGGAGGGAGTAGTGTAATAATCAGAGATTGATTTCAAAAGAAATACCTTTTAAGAAAAAAGGGACACCCCGTATAGTTAAAATTCGTTTTATCAGATATATTTCAAAACAATTTTATGTAAGGCAATATGACATGGTTTTACAAGCACGTGCAAACACACTAAGTCAGGAGTTTAATGAAGTACAATGTATTTCTCAATGTTAGAACGGAAGTTGGTATCATATTTGTTTATATAGAGAAGCGATTATATTTTTTAACCTACGTACAAGGCATCAAGCTGACTCAGAAAAAAAAAAACGGAAGCCATCTTTGAGCTTTGTTTCAAAGGGGGCGTGGAAATACACGTATGACCATTATGACTGGACATAAAAATTATAAACATTAATTGAAATGCCTTTTTTTTGTAAAGCGGCCATGATTAAAAAGGCGTACCAAAAAATACTTCCCAACGGGAAAATTCTAACGAGGCAGTCGTGGGTTAGCTTTTCACGGGGAACGTCTCTATGTCTCACGGGGTTTACTTAATTAATTTTAGTTTTTTTTTGGTCTTTTTAAAAGAAATTTCGCGGCGCGAACGGTGACTGTGCAATTTTATACAGGATTATTCAATAGTGTTCACCGACCAGGCGAATCCGGGGACGATCACCAGGAGTGATCAGCAGCCAACCCTTAAGATAATAGGGGTAAGTCCAATGAGACAGTAATTAATCGTGATACGTAAATGTCATATGGTATTAACTTGTGGCCTGATATATTTGGATAAGATATTACAATGCTCTCTCCTATTTTATAATTTATAAATAACAAACGGGAATTCAGTGGGTTTATGACCTGCTCTAAACCGAATTAAGTAGCCTCTAAAATTTGTAAAAGGGGCAAAACTAGTTCATTACTGTTTATGTTTTTTTTTTGTATCTATTTGTATCGTGTCCTTAACTCTTAGTTAGACTGTCATACATTTAATTTTATGAAGGATTAAACCAGTTGCTATTTAGGCAATCATTGTAACGTAAACTTGCTAAAAATTAGTGCCATTGTCATAAATTTTATTTCAAATGTTACTAGGAATTTATCTTTATTTTTAAAGTTATTTCGTGTTCTGTATGTTGATTTTCATTACATTTGTCTAATGTGTCAAAACTCACTAAACCTTTTTTTTATTTTCATTATATTTGTTTACTTTATTAAATAATATCCAACATTAGTTCAGTTATTAAGTTTAATTACTAAATTTTATAATGTTAGTTATCGTATTTTTGGTGATGCTCTATAAGACGGAGGGGCATGTAGTTGGTGATGTAGAAACCTATCCACATTTAAATAACCCTACGCATAGCTGTAAAGTTTATGAAGAAGAGATAGACTTTTTGCGGTTAAAAGTGACTTTCTGCGAACGAGCTAGAAAAAATAGTATAGATGATTGTTCCAAAAGCCAAAGAAAAATGGAGATTGATCTGGAAACAAGTAATTCAGTTTGTCTGAAGCAGCAAACAACAATCCTTAAACAAAAAGATTTATTGACAGAACAAATTATCTATTTAAACGGGAAAAATGAAAAATTGAAGAATACACACGAAAAATGTTTCGCTAACTTAACAAGATTAACATCTGAAAATGGGGGGAAAACGAGAGAGATCGATGAATTTAAACAATCGTATGAAGTAATGGAGGATGAAATAAGTAAATTAGATAAAATTTTGAAAGAACTTAAGCGTCGTCTAAGGCAATGTAGGATTGAAAAAAAAAATTGGAAGTCGAGAATAAGAAGTTAAAAAGTACGATAAAATCAGAACCAAAGAATAAAATTTTCTTTTTTCCGAATGAAAGTACAGGGGAATATTTTATATGTTAATTTCGTTTTCAAATTTACACTTATAAATTATATTTAAAGAAATCTGTTAAAATAAATATTAAATTTAAAAAACCTATGAGTTTAAATTTATATTAAACTTTTTAATACTACTTTCTCAAACTTTTTGGATGTATATATTTTAAATTACATTTTTATTGTTTTACGATACATATTTAAATGCATTTTACTGATATTAAATGCATATATATATATATTTCTTAAGAATTTATCAAACACTTATGATGAAGGTTAAAAATAATATATTTAATATTACATCATGATTATGGCTGTATACTTTATCAAAAATGTATAATGCACTTTAAAAATTATCGCAATTTAATCTGAGTTAAATCAAATATAGGTTATAAAGAAATATGCTATATATTACTGCGATTGTGTTTGCATCTGTAGTATTTCGATGGAGTCGATGGGGTAAGTTTATTTATATATATATATATATTTTTTTAACTTTATTTAACAACATATGTTTTAGTTTTTTTAAAAAATTGGGGAGTTGGAATATTCCAACTCACCTATTGGTAAACGCTGGATCCTAAACAGGGTCATGGTCGAAAAAATTGGTAATTACATTAATTAATATTATTATTATTTTTATTAATAATATCATCATTTTTCCATTTTAGACAAAAATATTAAAGTTTATAGTGAAATGTAAGTGATTTTAATTAATTTTTTAAAGTTTAAAATTAATTTTTAAAATTTTAGGAATGAAACATTAATCCCTGAATTTTTTTAGTAAGTTAGTTGAAAAATATGTACATATTATTAAAATTAAGTGATTTTATTTTAGCTTTCAAGGAAATAAGGTTAAAAATTTAGAATGCCAAGGGTAAAATTAATTGTATATATATTTTTTAAATAATATAAAGCTTCTGTTAATTATAATTTTAGGATTTTCTTAAAAATTGGGGTAATTATATACAAAAACGCTCCAGAAGTCAAAAAATGGCGCATAAAAATATGCCCTAAGAAAACTATAAATATTACAAAAAAAGGTACCTAAATAATTTTGCAGTTTCATTAAAAATATGTAAATATTTCATAATTTTAGACCGAATGATGAGAACATCTACCCTCGTGAAGTCGGGGCTGATATGGTGAGATATGATAAATTTTAAATTATTATAAATTTTAATTTTTTTAATTTTAGGTATCCATTGTAAGTATTATAATTGAAATAAAAACATAATATATATATTTTTAAATTTTTAGTGTACGAACAATTGAAGTGGGTGAAATGTAAGTTTTATGTTTAACCTAACTAATTTATTTTATTATATTTTATTTTATTTTAGATTTAATAGTTAAAACTAAATAACATGAAGATTCCCATATTTTAACCTTTAAACCCCTATTCCTTCCTAACCCATCCCCACCTGGCGAACTGTTTGCTGCAACCTACACGTGGTGTTCGCTGTAAAAAGTAAAATTGTTATTTTTGAACCTTATTATCATAATAAAAAATACTAATAATAACATGTGCTTATAATAATAATAAATGCAAATATTTTTATTAATTTTGTGAACGTTCATTAAAACAATTTAACTCAACCGATAGCAGCAATGTTTTATAAATTTATTTTTTACTAAAATATATTTTTTTGTTTAGATTGTTAAGCAGATTTTAAATAATCCAAATAATGATGAAAGAAATTAATGACATCTTAAAAGACCAGCGACGATCGAAGAACATTTATTATTATTATGAAAAGTTTAGCTGCTAATCAACCCTAATGAATTATTTATATTGCACTTTATTTTATGAATAGAAAATGTCCATAAAAATATGAATTAAAAACTTAAACTGATTTTATGTATATATTGTATAATTGGCGATTCGATAAAAAATAAATAATTAAATATGCTGTGTATTATTTTATTTCATTAAATTGAGGAAAAATGCAATTGGGGATATCTGAATTGCTAGATAGTTAACTAGGATAATTATAAGTTTTAGGTGTATAGTTACTAAGTATACCCTATTATAAGTCATAGATGATTATTAGAATTTTATATTTTTTAAGTTTCAATTAAAAAGTTGGGAATATCTGAATTGGTAGATAGTTTGCTGGGAAAACTTTAACTAGAAATTCCTAGCTCAACCATTTTCGATATAATTTCTAATTTTTACGATATAATTTTTGTAATAATATGAAATAGAATTAAAAGCTGAGAATCTAAAACATTCTCCAATTTTATATTTTTTTTAAGTTTTAATTAAATAGGTGGGAATATCTGAATTGCTAGATAGTTAACTAGGATAACTATAAGTTTTAAGTGTATAGTTACTAAGTATACCACCCTATTATAAGTCACAGATGATTATTAGAATTTTATATTTTTTAAGTTTCAATTAAACAGTTGGGGATATCTAAATTGGTAGATAGTTTGCTGGGAAAACTTTAACTAGAAATTCCTAGCTCAACCATTTTCGATATAATTTCTAATTTTACGATATAATTTTGTAATAATATGAAATAGAATTAAAAGCTGAGAATCTAAAACATTCTCCAATTTTATATTTTTTTTAAGTTTTAATTAAATAGGTGGGAATATCTGAATTGCTAGATAGTTAACTAGGATAACTATAAGTTTTAAGTGTATAGTTACTAAGTATACCCCCATTATTATGAGTCATAGATGATTATTTATTCATGAGTTAAATTATTTTATTATTTATTCTAAAGTAATAGTTAAGTACTATAAAAATGCTAGTATTTTAAACACCATTTAGATTTTAAAGTAATAGTTATTAACATCATCCCGTACTATACCGGGTGGCGACCTCTAGCTGTGTGTATACGTGACCATCATCTAAACTCTTCTTGAATCCTAGTTAAGCTTGACTCTCCCAATATATCATGTTGCGCCATCTACCTGCCATTATCTGAATCAATAGAAAGCCATCATGTTGCGCCATCTACCTACCATTATCTGAATTAATAGAGAGCCTTGATCCTGAACGGTGTCCGCCATTTTGAAAAAGCTTAGAAATTTAACACGGTAATGTCCATAAGGAAATTGTTTACTCCCGGGGTAGGTAATCTACTGAGGTTTATCTCAAGTTTGCTCGAAACGACGATCTCACGCAAATAATAGATATATGCCTTCCTATGATCCCTCTAAAACAGACTCTTACCTAATGTATTTTGATATTAATAATCAATATGGCTATGCTATGTCCCAACCACTTCCATATGCGGGATTTGAATGGGCTGACACTAACATTGATGTGACCACAATTCCTGATGATGCTGCTGAAGGATATATGTTAGAGGTAGACCTGGAATATCCTGAACATCTTCACGACCATCATAAAGATATACCATTTTGTGCTGAACATATTAATCCAAAGACTAGTAAGCCTCCAAAAACCTGTAAAGAACTCACCAAATTAATGGCTACCCTTCATTCAAAAACAAAGTATGTGATCCACTACCGCACTTTAAAGCAAGCTTTAGCCCATGGATTGAGACTTACCAAAATACATAGAGTATTGAAATTTAAACAGAGTCCTTGGCTGAAGAGCTACATCGACCTCAACACTGAGCTACGTAAAAAGGCCACGAATGAGTTTGAGAAAAATTTATTTAAACTAATGAACAATGCTGTTTTCGGTAAGCTTTTTAAATATTTATATTATATTATTTTATCTAAATTTCATGTTATATAGGTAAAACTCTCGAATCGGTTCGTAAAAGATTATCAGTGAAGCTACTAAATAAATGGGAGGGTAGGTATGGGGCGGAATTCTTCATTAGTAAACCCGAATTTAAAAATTGTGTGATATTTAACGAGAACTTGGTAGCTGTTGAACTAAGAAAGTTGGAAATATATTTAAATAAGCCAATCTATATTGGACAAGCTATTCTTGATCTAGCAAAGACTACTATATACGATTTTCATTATGATTATATGACATCAAAGTTTGAGGAATGCTCCGTGTTGTACACGGATACGGATAGTTTAATATATGAAATTCGAAATCAAAATCCCTATGACGTCATAAAGCGAGATTGTTACAAATATTTTGATACATCTGACTATGAGCAGCCTAATATTTATAATATTCCATCGGTAAATAAAAAAGTGTTAGGTTTAATGAAAGATGAAAATAATGGTATTCCAATGACCGATTTTGTGGGGCTTAGATCAAAATTATATTTAACAAAAGTAGTGCAAACTGAAGCAGATATTAAGAAAAAAAGAAAAAAGCTTGAAGAAGAGGCGTATGATGGGGATGAAATTGATGAAATTATTAAAAATTTTGGTGTTTCAAAAAAGGCAAAGGGAGTAAAGTCATCTGTTGTCAAGACAAAAATCCATTTTTCAGATTTTATTGACTGTCTAGAAACTTGTACTTCAAAAGTGGTTACCCAAAATTTAATACGCTCGGAAAAACATAAAGTACATTCAATTAAACAGGAAAAAATAGCTTTAAGTGTTCAAGATGATAAACGATATCTAATGCATGATTGCAATGAAACTTTACCCTGGGGACACTATTCGATTAAATGATTTCAAAGAGTCCGCCACATCAACCTCATCATATAATCCATTTAAAATGTTCATTTCAATCCCATTCTAAAATAAATATTAATTAAATGCTGAATAATACAAACTTTTCAGTAATTAATAGATAAGAAATACTAACATAATTAATTGGTTGTATATTTGTCGGACTAGACACATCCGGTTTTTTTTTTATTAAAATCATTATCCCCATTTTTTCCTGGTAGTACTTGTTGTGTTAAATTTGATGAAATCGGGGCTTCTTTACTGCGATCCATTTTACTATTGCTAGTCAGGAGATGTTGTCTCTTAAATTATTAAAAAATAACTTGTCAATTTTTAAATCAAAAAATATATTAATACATACCAGTAAGCTTTTTACACCTA